CAATCTCTGGGTTAAGTAATCAATCTGACGAAAATGAATTCAGTCTTTCACAATCGCAAAACTTCTATTCGATTTGTGAGAAACGGAATCCTCTGCAAACCTCCTATCTGTTGAACTTCACTAGTGAAGGCCGAAATTAGCCTCTTGGGTTTAAAGAAAGAAGTGGAAATGAAAATAAATAGCACATAACATTAAACTGGGTGTGGGGTGTGTGATAGACTTACCTCCACGTGGTGCAATCCGGGCAACGTATACTCATTCGGCAAAAAGTTTATTATTCGACAGTGGACTTCCGATCTCAAACTACCACCACACCACTGTATGCCATATTCAACAACTTCCACAGTACACACCCACCTTTTACACCAACCCCTTTGCGTTTGTCTCTTTTATATCTTTGAAACACTCTTCTGTTCCCCCCCCCCCCTCCCACCTATCGACTTTTTTTCTCTTTGATGTTCCTTCCTCTCTGCGAGGCCTTAAGTCAACTAAAATACAAATAAATTAACCCGGGTGGGGGTATGTTGAGCTATTTACTGCCGTCTAATACATATGTTCTGGATCACCTAATGGTCGAAAGAATGTTTGCCTTTCTCACTCATTTAGAATAATCAAATGCAGACATCTCCCATAAAATCGTCTTGACTCAATGCATTTTAAACAGATTTGATTGTTTCAAATTTACGAAATGATTTTCGTGCCATTTCACCATCTGTTGCTGAACAAAGGCCATTCATTGATTAGTGTTCCAATATTGAAGTGACTGTCTTAAATTTAACTTTAGCACATGAAGTACAAATCACCAATAATAAAATATTTCATTAAACATTAACTCAGAATGGGGCATTATTTAAATGCATAGGAGGGATGCAGTTTGTGGAGAGGAAATTAGGTGTAAGAAACAAATATATAAAATAGCAGACTTTTGATTAAATGCAAATTGAGTATTGTTGGTTAAAAGAAGTGCAGAAAAAGAGAGAGATGCAGTTTAAATGAGGGGCAAATAACTGGAGAGGAAGAGCAAAGTAGAATGGGAAGGAAATAAGGTGGGTGAATGTGGAGGGCTTAGAAGAGTAAGTCGTCATCCAAGAAGTCCTCGCCATATACCACAGTGATAAGCCATCTCTTCATTTGGTCGGGACTGCAGTCATCTTCATCGGAGTTGACAGTGAAGTAGTCGAGTTGTAAGGCCTTCTCCGCAGTTATCCTTGCAGTTGGGCAGAGAGTCAATAACCTAAAGTGACAAATTGATATGTATTTGAGTGTTATCATTAAGTCGATTTGGAAATAACTGTGAGAGGAGGTAGTCAAAGGAAGCAAAGCTCACCTTTCTAGTAGATGATAGGTGACATCAGAGACCGCACGACCAAGGCTACTTCTCAAATGGCTAGTGTGTGTGTCGGGTAATTCCTCCAATTGCATTCCGCGCAATCCACTCACGCCCGGCCACACACTCTCTGTCGGTTTTCCACAAATCCTCAAAATGCCCCTTATCATCTCGCACTCAGTGGCAAATTGAAAAAGACGTCTTTGCATTATCATCTCCACAAGTACACACCCAGCTGACCACACGTCGATTGCAGATGTGTACTCCTCGCTACCTGTGGAAAGAAAGGCAGTGAGTTGGATGTCTGTGCCAAAGCAACTCCACCGAAACTAAGCGTAATATAGGAGGAAACGGGCTTACCGAGTAGTTGCTCGATGCTTAAGTACCACAGAGAGCCAAAATCATTTGTGTTTTGCATCTGCGTGGAAGTGCATTCAACTGCGTGACCGAAGTCGCAAATCTTTAGAATGCCGGTGTCGGTGACTAGCAAATTACTTGGCTTCACGTTGCGATGTATGATTCGTCGAGCATGAAGATAGGCAATGCCAGAGAGAAGTTGCCTCATGAAGAAGCGCACACGGGAGTCACTGAAGGTGTGGGGCGAATCTCTGGAGAAAGCGATAATGTCTTCGAATGAGTGCTCCACGTATTCGAGGACCAAACAAATACGCCCCTGGTGAGAAACCACTGTTTCAATGTATTCATTATATTGGGATGACTGATTTTTGAGAGAATCTCCGCCTCTCTCAAGTGTATGCCACGAGGTGACACGCCGTCGGTGAATTTCGCATAAAGCCACTTGAGAGTGACGTACTTTTCCTTACTGTCGTTTGTTTCCACTTCTCCTACTCCACAGTCTGCCTTTTCACCTCCTTCCACCGACTTGACAGTGCCTTTGTACGCTTCACAGGAGACGCCACAGCCTATATAGTACTCCTGGCTGTAGTGCTCATCGAACAGTCGAAATGAGCCCAAATTGCGAGTGTTGCATCGAGCGTCTGCGCCAAACTCGTAAGCTGTGTCTGAGCTTGCGATCACCTGAGCGGAAAGAGGAGAATGGCATTCTCCACCAACTCTATCAACCGTCTCTTCATCCTCCTTCTTTCTCCCCTTCACTCTTGATTTGCGTGAAATGGCATTTTTCGTGAGTGCGGTGCCGCTATCTCCCTCTGAGTTCTTGGACTTTGGTAGCTGGAACACAACAAAGGTGGGATTAACAAATTGCAACAGATTAGCTGGCTTTCACTCAAAAGGTATTAATTATGAAACTGCGTAATTCTTTATATTGGGTCATATTTTGCCTCGTGCTGATCGTTTCGCTCCACCTACTCATTCGAAATCAAGAAGCTGAAGAAGTTGGACTAGCATGAAAATTAACATTAGACAAGTGAGCAATAGAAATAACAAATACTGAAAAATCGCATTCAGTTCTTTGATCATTCAGTAGACCCCTCCATTGAGCAAATTTGGAACCTTTTGAACAAATGGTTAAAGTACATATGCATCTTATTTTGGAGTGCGCAACTCTCGTCTAACCTATACATTCGATTGAACAAGTGGGCAATCTTGAACACAAATGTCTAAATGTCTACAATTTTATCTCCTGTCCATCGATTAGAGTCGCAATTTTCCTGGCTCTTTTGCAAACAATACTTGACACAATTTCTACTTAATATATACAGATGACATTATCAAGCAATGCCAATATTCTTACTTCATTCCCGAATAACTCCATTGCAACGGCCATTCAATTAAATGTCCACTTGACTTTAGATAAACAAAGTGCTTATTTTTCAAGTTACTCAGCGATGTACAAAAGTCTTTTGCTTTCACAAAAAATATCTAATTTCCAATCTCTTTTTTAATTTAATTTAAAATTAATATTATGAATTTCTTGGGTTTTTCCACACAATTTTCTCGTGAAATTTTGCAGAGTCCATTGGGTGCATTTTAATTCCCATGCTTTTATGACATTCACTTCCGGTTGGTCACTTAATTGCACACTTGCACAAATTCATACTGACATCTTACATCAATTATCAATCAATTGAAAGAAATATTTCAAACACTCACAGTTATGCTGTTCAAGTTGCTTCAATCCTGATACGAATTTCAATGCACACACCAAGTTCAATGAAATGCTGCGAATCTACAATTTTAATTGATCAGAATTTCAAGGATGAATTACACAGCATTTGGAGCGATCGATTTAAGTGAAGTGTTTTTTGAGGGAAATATTTTGTCCATCTTTCCAACTTGTTAAATGCGACCTTTGATTATTCAGTTTGTTTAAAGTTCAGTCGTCTTGGCGTGTGATAGAGATGCTTCTTTGGCAGAATTCAGGCGATAAGGATGAGCCCCACCAGAAGAGTGGAATTGAAAAGTGGCCAATGCTTTGAGCATGACTTGACTTTTACTAAATAATATTCAGTGTACCATTAATTTTGATGTGTTGGTATTGATTAGTATGAGTTGGCTTCAATCACCACGAAGATAACTTCAATCACAGTGAATATCAATGAGGCCGAATTTCGCACTTGATAGAAATGTCCAACTAGCTATATACTACCAGCATTATAGTAGAAGAAGCAGAATGTTCCAAATTGGAAACTGACATAAATGGATGATCTATGCAGTTAAATCAACGAAAATTGTAACTTACCAATAAAAAAGTCAATGACTATTGCATTTCCTTGGACTATGGTCCTAAACTGGAAAACTTGGAGAGAGCTTTATGCTCGAAATGGATCGAAATTATTTTCAGCTGAAGTAATTATAATCATTTTTTCAAGAAAAATGTAAAATCAATACCAGATTGGAAAAATTGGAAGTGGGATTCGAATTGCATTCAATCATTCCGATGTCTGGAATTTCTTACACTTCCTTGCTGTGTGAGAAATGCTCTCTTCAATGGAGAAATGGCCCGTATGATACGATTGGCAAGGATCGCGCACACTTCCTCTTTTCGTCTATAATTTTCAAAATCCATTCACAGTTATCCTTTCCAATTGATATACCGTCGTCGTATGTATTAGTGCATTACTATTGAAGTCATATGGACATGGAACATTCACATTGATATTTCCATTTCGGCATGCACTTCCTGCTTCATTTACCACGTATACTTCTAATAAAACAAAAAAGACACACTGTGCGCTTTTAGTCAGAAATAAAATATTTAAGCTATATTTTTATTAGAACTACTATTAATTATAGTAGTATTTTTTTCTATCACTTTAATAATGTCATTTTATCAAAATTATTACTTTAAGGCAATGATTCTAAATAGTTCCATTTTTTGGACAGTCAAATTTGTATCACGAAGCAACAGCTCATCTTCAATGAATTAAAAAGATAAACAATCAGTACTATCATTTGTTGAATTATTCTCGGCGTGAAACCGAAAAATTGCTTGTTCATCTAAATACACTATTAAATCATGAGATGTAGGAGGAATTGATGGAAGATTGAAAATGGCATTAATTAAAAATATTCTCTTTGGTAAAGTAATACGGTACATTTTACATATACTTGCGGGTATAAATAAAGTTTGTGAGTCTTTTCTTATTTATCACATGGTTTGGCAGGCATCTTCTTCTCACATTATTGTTGAAGCAATCTTCGACTGGGCAAAGAGGTCATTGTGTCTGTTGTGACCGATCCACCAATACCCTCTGATCGCGTTTGCACTTGGAAATCTTTGAGGCAACTTGAAACCATAAAGTTTAAAAGTTCACCACAGATGGGCATTGCCAGGTGATTTGAAAGTGAATTTGAAGCATTTTTGAGTTACAGGTAGATAAATTGAGTGGAAGGTAAATGTAGTTTATTTAGTCTAATATATTATAACACCTGGTACTGTGTGGCTTTTAACTCTTCACTCACTCATTTCCACCCACTTCTAGATCGACATCAACATTCGGGATGTGCTAGCTTTTATTTTTGTGGTACCTCGTCGATTTAATTCACACCGCTATCGCTTAAAAATTGGCATTAATTGCAGAAGTGAGTGAACTTATGGAGTAATCTTGGCGTTTTACTCTAGATTTGTCAAACGCGCCTCATAGGTTTTTGAACGGTTTCTCATAGGCGTCACCGATCAATTCGAATTCAGAGGCTGGTGACAAAGCTCACGCAAAGGGCCATAGATGGTTCGATTCCACATTAAGCCTTCGTTTAGGCAAATCTTTTTCCCAATTTTGATCTAATGGAAGAGACTTAAATTTCGCCTTTATTTTGGCCAAAATTCTCAGTTTCCCGTATTCATATTTCAGCTTTTGACCTCTTTGTTGTTAGAAATTATTATTATTTGAAAAAGTCACAACATTGTAAGGTCGCATTAATTGTTAAGTAGATGGAAATGTCGATGGTCTCTGCAATTTCAACACAAATAATTGATTATTGCATCAAAATTGGGTAGTGTCGTGTCATGTTGAATGGAAGGAGTATGATAGTCGGCTAAAGTTGGATTCAAATCTCTCTATTTCAACAAAAATGCCGGAAAGTAACGTAATTATCAAAAACTAATTATGTATTTCAATGCCCATTTCCCCTTACCCACTCTTACTCCTTAAATTAAAAATTTAATACGATCTCAATCTTACTACATGTTTTTTAGTAAGTTAATTTTATAAAAAAGGTATTGATGAGCATTAATGTTTGATGTAAAAATTAAATTATACTTGGTAGTCTTGTTTACCCAACTACAAATGAGGCGAGGGAAGATAATTGAAACACTAAAATCTAATTAGCATAATGAGCACAGTGGTGTAAGAGAAGAAATATTAACGTTTAAATTTAAGTATAAACGCGCATGAAGTATTTATTTATTTCAAATGGCAGGCATTTTGCTAGTTATCATTAGCCCTTTAGTTGACTTCAGGCTTCACAGAGGGGGGAAAGAAGAGCGATTCACAGGTGTAACAGACAGACAGGCAGACACAAAGGCAGAGAAAAGGTAAGATGAGTACTGTTGAAGGGGTCGAATAGGACATACAGAGGGGTGATGGTAGTTTGAAGTGAGAAGTTAACTACAGGTCAATAGACTTTTTTGTCGTCTGACTATACGTTGCCCAGGGTGCACCACGTGGAGGTAAGTCTTTTGCACACCCCAAGTCCATGAAGTAAAGTTCTATTGATATGACATGAGATGATTGCTGCCATCGCTCTGATATCGCTATTTGCCTTCAGGTTCTCTGAATGTAAGTCGCAAACGTCTGTAATGACGAATAATCCACATTTATAATTGCCTAATTCCGATAATATCTGATTCACTTTTGTTAGGAATATAACGTCGAGAGGAAAAGATGCCAAATTTGAATTTGTTTGAACATGTTCAAATGTTGCAATTCCATCTCATTTCGCAATCTAATACTTTGACAACCTTAACTTTGTCTATACTTATGAAATAAGGCACATTGGAATAGACTGTCTAACTGGCTAATACGAGTAGGAATTTTGAGAGTAGTGCCGTTTGGAATATTAATAGATTATTTGTTGGCTATTGGGTATTTTACAAGTTTGAATTGTCATTCTCCAATTCACAAACTGAACTTCTGGATTTTTTTCACACATATGATCTTTAGATTCAACAATGGAACAAAATCCTTGTAAACTTCCAATAGATCCTGGATGTGGAGATGCAAAGCTCACCAAGTGGGGCATGAATTCAACGAGCGGACAATGTATTTCATTCCTCCATAGTGATGCCGGTTGAAATGGAAACAGATTTGACACGGAACAGTAATGTAAATCTAATTGCGTTTCGAAGAAAAGAGAAAAAAGAACATAGTTTAAAAACTGCATCGGATCACGTCAATCGCACAGGTTTGTCAAAGTCTATTAAAATCTTGTATTTACAATAGAGTGATTATTAACCCTAATCGTTTCCATGAGCAGTTAGGTCACTGCATCCGAATGATAGAATCATTCAATTGAATAAGGCACACGCAAATAAAATTGTTGAGAATTTCAAAAAATATGCCTATTGAAATAGAAATCATTTATACGCGGCTATGAGGGCTGTTGAACCCGATGGCACAGTTGGTCTTAATTACTGCTAATAGAAAAGTATTTAAATTGCTGTTCACTGGTGCACACACAGTGTGAGTCTCTCACGAGGTCAGTTCATAGATACCTCACTTCCACCCAAAGAATGCGCTGTCAACACAACACAAAGTTGCCTTGCCAAG